CGTCATCCCGCAGCGGCTGGGCAGAGCTAAACAAGCGGCTGGTCGGGGCCGCGGCGTGGTAGAGGAACGGCAGGGTGATGTCACTGCAGCGAAAGGCTTTAACACAACGCGTGGAAGTTTCCGAGTAGTCTGCAGTTCTCTTGCCTTGGTATCGGTTTGCACGTACCGAGCTCTGACGTGGAGCTGCTTGTCTCAGCTGGGGTTTTCAGGAGGGAGAGGCGTCCCTAAGTGAGCTGCCTGGATCTGCCCCTCCTGGGTGAATTGCTGGGTGAGGCTCGACGTGGCTGAACCAAGCGATTCTCCTCACATCTTGACTACGCTGGAAATGCATTTAACAAGAAACTGTTGTTAAAGCTCTTAATGTAGTTCCTGCTGGCAGCCTGGTCGCCCGGTCTTACTGTCCCAAAGTTTTTGTAGTTAGATTAGTACATAAGAGTAGCTTGATTCAGGCCATGGGTCCTTTTTGCGTGCATCTTTGGCTTGGGCAGATTGAAAAGCTCTTCTACTCTTCTGATTGTGTCAACTTTATTTACCTGATTCTGATCCTGTTTAATATTTGCCTTGTAATATTTAAGTGGCTGTGTAAAGGTAAAACAGATTCAGCTCTAATAGTTTATTACATGCCTCTTGTGTAGGAAAGAAGCGTAGTAAGTGGTTAATGCCCTTGTCTGGGACCAAGGAGAACATGCGTTCAGTTTCCTCCTTTCCCACAGACTTTTGGTTACAAGCTTGAGCCAAGCTCCTGCCACAACTAATGGTTTGTTGATTTGGGTCTAAACTCTGTTGATACTGTTAAATTAGAAATAAAATACGGTGTTTTAAAGATCAAGATAGAAGAACTCAAATTAGTTGGCCTGAATGAGCATATCTGGAGTAACTTACCCACAAATCATTTATACATACCTAATTGATTAAGTCACAAATCTGACCTTGCTGCTGTGCACTTAAAAACAAACAGAAAAGTTTGTGCTTAAGTTGAAACTTTGATGTTAAGTCATGAAAACGTCAGTAGATTCAGACTCCACTTGATGCTTCAGAGGCATCTGAACTATTTTGGTGGTGTCCTTATGTGTTCTGGGACAGAGCAAAAAAGCCAATTACTGAAATTAATCATTGTCTTCTCTTGCGGTGTTCTCAACATGAGTGACAGATGCTGCAGTAAGCATATTGGATTCAAGCAAAACATACTCGTGTACCCGATATGTTCTGCAGGAGACTTAATCATTACTGACAGATGGCTCTTGTCAAAGAATGGCTTCTTTCAGTTCGAGTTGTTGGAAAAGACAAAAAAGATTGAATTCAAGTCATAGTTGTGAGAGACAACTCCATCCTGAAAGTTAATATGTGAAAATGATAAATGAAGAAGGCATTAATATTACAGAGAGGCTATTACATTAATGGGAGTTGTGCTCAACCCCATGGAGATAATGTACTGGCTTCCAGCTGGTGCTTTAACGTTAAGTGACCAGGTAATACCCTGAAGATCAGGGAAGCCCTGTAAAAGCATTCAGTATAAAACAGAAATGTTTTGATATGTTGGGGAGATCTAGCAGGATATAGAAACTAGGTTGTACATGACTCTCAAGTGAGTCCCCTGCAGCACGTAGAAAGCTCAGATGGTTTTGGGAGGGTTTTTGGTTTTTTGTCAGCCTCTGAAGTGAAAACCTATAAAGCAGAGAGACTGGTGATCAAGGAGGAAGAATGTGATGAAAATGTTAAACTTGTATTGGACGGTTCTATGCAGTTAGAAAATTCCTGAAGTAAAAGGACTCTGAGCCTTGTAATGATGAGCCTCCAGATGAGATGTGTCTCACCTAGGGAGTTAGCTTAAAGCAGTAATTGACTTTTTTTAACACACACACACACACAGAGCTAGAAAACGTCAGACCGATAAATGTGAAGCTGCTATGGCAGGTTTGGCATCCATAAATGAAGGGAGGAAAAAAAAGCCATTGTTTATATGGTGTTGGCACTTGGTATCCCCACAGGGGCTTCAGGGTGGTTAAAAAAAAAAAAAAAAGACTAATGGATTGGTTATAGCAGAGTAAAAATTGACACATGATGTTTTGTTAAGGTTTATCGGGGTGGGAAGAATTGTGCCGGTAGCTGGATCTAAAACTGCATTTATACCACTGTATTCACAACAGATAACCAGAAGTCTGCATTTTAACATGCTCAAACTTCTTGAGAGGTTGGCTTTGGTAGAATATTATTTTTGAATGTTCTGCAGAAGACTTAGTAAGAACAATGAGGCTTTTAATGGGATAGATGAATAGCCCAAATATTGCCGTTGCGCAAACCTGCCAGTGTATCTGCTGGCTTAAATAAGATATTTATAAACCATCTCAATGACCCCTTAGTATTTAGAAGAGGAAGTCCTCCTGCAGATCTGGGGAAATACTCTTTCCTGGAGTGGTAAATTTGAACTTTTGCCATCAGTTTTGCCTTACAGTTACTGTATTTCCTCTTTTATTAAAATTGTGCCTGTCCAGCGAGTCAGACATTAAAAGTAAGAAATCCTGTCACGATAGTCCTAAACAATACAAATTGCTAAGAATATTTGGGCCGTCGGAGCAGCAAGACTGTTTCACTTAAATTTGTCCAGGGGACTAGAAACAAAGCTCAGCCTCAGCTCTCTGGGAGCCAGTGCTCCAGGGTGCAACTCTTTCAGCTTGCTTCTGGAAAAAGTAGTGTACAGCTGAAAATGGCAGTTCTGTAACTTGCGTTCATTAATAATTTCCTATTGACTGAGCTATTAGGCCTGTAGTAATCTTCACATGACATACCACCTTCTCTTTGGAGGTTTGCACTGCGGTGTTGCGGAATACGCGAGCTGATTGCTCTCAAGTCATGCCATCCTCACTGGCGTCTGTTCATTAATATGGGGCCTGCTTGGTCTCCTGTTACAAGGTGCTGGAGCTTCTCTTGTCTTTTAGGCAGAGTAAAATTGCTATCTACAGCCATGTGAGGTTCACCTCTGCTGTCTTCTCCTCCGCTGTTGCAATATATTAGCGTTGGCAACATACCACAATGCAGCGCTAAGGTAGCTCTTACCGTATCCTTTGTATCCACCGTACAGCCGGATAACTGCACTTCGGGCCATCTATTCGCGTGGCACGTTGCCAAGTCAGCCTGGTTAGGCTTGTCAAGGATACTAATGCCAAGCAGCAAGGAATTTGGGATAATGAACCCCGGCTGCGTAACACCAGGTGCAATGTGTGGCCTTTATTGCAAATTTATTCTGTTTTCATTGGCTTAACCTTTATGTTGCCGTTTCTGCTCGTGCCAAAAAATACAGTTCTTCCATGGAACATGGAAGAACTCAAAATTCAATCAGTTGAAAACTGCCACTCAAATGAATTGTGGTACAGTAAGCATGTCAGGAAAGAGAAGCAAAACGCTTAGATAATCAGTGTCTGCGGGGAATGTCAGGTCTTCAGATGACTGAATCATGCAATGCCAGAAAATAACCACAGCCGGATTAGAGTGTGATATTAGTTACTTTGTTGGCACTTGGCCAAGCAACCTGCTCAGACTCACTACCTGAAAAGTCCCCTAAGAAATTGTGCGTACTATGATGGATGTTGGTTTCTAATACTTAGTTTCTTTCATCCTTTCATCAGCTTTTGTCTGCATTTTTAAAATGAGTTGGTCTTGCTGAAGAAATGGCTTGATCCTCAGTTAGGAATCAGCTAGAGGTGCCAAGAAGCAGGAATGCATGAACCTGGATAAGTAGGTAGTAAGTGGACTGCGTAGGGAATGTGTTTGCTGTGCCATTTGGTGTGCCCTCTCATAAGGGTTGTGCTTTATTCCGATCTTAAATTTTACTCACTTAGCTCTCGGACCAAGCCATGGCTACAGAATGGATCAGAGGGACAAAGTGTCTGGCACAGACTTTAGCACCACTTAAAATTTTGGGAAATGTCCAAACATGAGGAAAAACATAACGCTGTTCAGTTAGTCTTTACCTAGTGGTATGATGTGTATGCAGTTATAAAAAGGCTTTTGAATTGATTCATTGTTTCTCTGCATATTCTTGGCTACTTAGTTTCAAGAGCTTAAAAGAGATTGAAAATGAAAATGGCTTTGGGATTTCCCTGGTTCCTGCCAGTATAGAGCTGCTTAATCAGGAGGAGGAGAAGGAGGAGGGGGAGTGCCTCTAGGGGAGATGCCATCTATGATCAGCTCTGGACACTTGCAGTTCCAGAGCAGTGTAGAAGCCTGAGCAACAGATACAAGAGGAAATACTTGCTGCTGTAGCAGTTGAGATACATTTTAAAGCCAATGCAGTATCTTTCTGCCCTGCCTCAATAATTAGGACTCTGCTTTAGGGAAGCTTCCCCCCCCCGCCCTTAACTGAATGTGGTTTATTCTATGTTGAATACAGCTGAACAGAAACTTGCATATAGAATCAGAACATGCAGCTACTTGAACAAAGGTCATTAATTTCACAAATTGGCCAGAATGTTTAATAAATGGAGATTACTTGTTTCTTTCTGGACCTAAACCTTTCTTTACTGCACAAATCAGCAGAGGCTTATTTTAAGTACACTGACTCATCTGTTTTTTCATGATTTACAAATTGACTCGCATACAGCAAAAATATGCTTTGGATCCAGGGGAGGGGGAGGGAATGTATGTCTTCTGTAGCACATGAAGGCATATACGAATTTCATGTAAAATGATGAAAGTGAAATGAAAGCTATGCTTTCCTGCGACTTTATCATGACCGTCTGGGCTAGGTTTGAAAAACAACTTTTTAAAAGTCTTGCAACTGTTTTGTAATTGATTGCTCTGTTGAATTCAGTTTAACTCTTCTCTCTTTTGCTTTTCATCAGAAAAATGAGTGGTGGGTTGGCACCAAGCAAAAGCACGGTGTATGTGTCCAATTTACCCTTTGCTTTGACAAACAACGATCTATACAGGGTAAGTTTTTAAGAGCTGCATTGGGCAGATTAAACTTGTTGACAACGGTTTTGAGTGTAAATACAATGCTGATATATATATCTTACTTAGAAAAGTTTGTCTTGATAAATTTATTACTAACGAAATGCAATTGTCTATTGTTAAATCTTTTTATTTTGTTTTATATTTCAGATATTTTCAAAGTATGGGAAAGTTGTCAAGTAAGTGACCTGATATAGCCTGCTATTTTCGTAGATTTCATTTTAAGTATTTAATGTCTTTGCTTCACTTTAAAGTCTTGTGCTTTTTATAATTTAAGTATGAATGTGGAACTGTATTGAAGTCCTGTGCATTTTTAATAAAGTATAAATTTAATTAACAACTGGAAGTCCTTGCAGTTACACGCATAATGTAGGAATATTTGCGTTGGGGACAGGTTTTGCTAACCACTTCTTAAGAGCAAGAATGTTGTTTTATACCCATGGTCTTTTCTCTGAAATAGTTGAAACAGTATTCTTCTAGTAAGTGTTGTCCCCCCTGCCCCGAACACCACCTGGGACACAAGTGGATAAGTGTAAAAGTGGGAGCTTCTACTTATGTGAGCTAGATGTCACAGTTCCCACAAACAGTTCCCACAACTGCAATGTACGATTCCTCTATTTGTGGTTCTAGAGGGACTTGTTATTGTGACTGCTTAGTATTATATTTAACATTAGACATAAGCTTGCATAGTAATGGCTTTTAATATGTGGGGTATTCATGAACAGTACTTGTGAGTACCTGCCTCTATGTTCAAGTGATGGAAATAAATGTCACAGTAAGGAACTTGCTGTTTTGTTTTCTTTATTTTTTAACTGGTCAGAATAATGAGATTCAAGACTTCAGTTTTCAACCCTACACCAGCAAATATCTACTCTAACTTCTAGTAGCTGCTGTAATAATCTGTGAGATACAGAGTTAAATTCAAAGTTTTTGAAGTCTCAGGAGTGTGTTTCAGGTGACAAATAGCAGGAAAAGCCAAACTACAACTTTAGTAAAACATATTTTTTAAATTGACCGAGAGGAAAACCCTTATGTAGGGCTCTGGCAGACATGCAGTGACCAATACAACTGGACAGCTACAGCCTTTATTGTTTCCAGGGTGGGGTGTTATGACCTGTTTTAGTTGATTGCTGAACTACCGATCTAGGAAAACCCTGAGCAAAGGTTGTTGTAGTAATGCTGGTGTTTAATATCCATTGAGGGGCCTGTTCTCCATAAATTTGATACTTCTGACGTCCCTGCTGTCATTTGGTAACATACCTATACTCGGTGTTTGGGGGTGGGGGTCTCCTACTGTCTTGGCTTTTGAACTTGTTCGATAGGAGGATAAGAATTGTATGAAGTTTTGACTGTATGATGCATTGCATATTTTAAAGGTGTCATAGCAGCATTCTCTCTTTTATTTTTTCCTTTATTAATAGTTTCTAGTGTTTTATTTGGGTTTTTTTTTACTGTCATAGACAATAGAAATGGTGTTTTCAGATGCCTATGCAAAAGAAATCCTGCACTGCGTCCTGTGTGAAAGCAGCTAATTTAGAACTTGCAATTCTATCTGCACAGTTACTGTTTTCCCCCACCTATATATTGTTTTGCAAAAAATTCACTTACTGATACCTAATTTTTCCTGACATTTTGTCTGGTCACTGCCAGAAGTTAAACCAAATGCAAAGAGTCACAGAATACCATGTGTAAAATACTACCGTGTTGTTGTTTGTTTTTTTTTTATCTAGCAAAATTTGTTTCCAGTTTGTCCCTTTGCAAGCTGACCTGACTATAAACAGTGCAGATGCTGTGGGATTCTACTGGTATTCCCATTTAGCTGCGAAACTGAGGCTAACAAGGATCAGTTTTCCTGTTTGTAACTAGTTGTTAATTCCCAACAAAAGTCTTTTCAAATATTAGCTTGATTTCTGTAGAGTCTTTGTTCAGGGACTTTAAAACACTTTGCAGAAAGCTTTGCGATGTCATCTAGGTCAGCTTTAACTTAACTAAATAAGCTTTAATAGACCTTTTTTTGAAGTGTGTCTTGACTCAGCAAAATCATGCTGACTTTTTTCCACACTGCATTTCTCACCCCAATATATGCTATTATGATTTCAGCTCAGTTCATTCAGTGAGAAATCAGACTTTCTAGGGCTCCGAGAAGTTGCTGACTTTTTGAAGATTTGTCACACTTGTTTCTTTCTACGCTTGTGTTATTAACTGCTACGTTCAATATCCCAAGTAGAAGCTTGACAGTCATATTAGGGTTCCGTCGGAACTCTTGGAAGAGTAACTTGGCAAAAGAATTCATAGAATTGTTCTAAAGTCAGTTTTATTGCTACTTCAACTCAATGCATTCAATTGGACACATCCTTGTCCAAGAGGCTTTGGTAGAAAAACTGTTCTAAGCTCTATCTTTCTGTGCATATATTTGGGGGGGAATTGAGCTTTCTTTACTGAGCTTTTATTTTATACGCTTTTTACTATGTAGGTCACCTGTTACTTATACAGGTTCTCTGGTAGGCCTTCTGCATTGAAGCGGGGTTTGTTTGGAAAAAGCTCTATTACTTTTTGGCTTACTTTATGGCTGAACCTTGTTCTGCCTGTGGTGGACACAAGGAGGAGTTTATTCCCTACTTTTTAACATGTACTTTTGTTTTTATGTACATGCAGACTGGCATCCTGTTTCCCACTGTTTTTTGGGTTTTTTTAGGGCTAAATACAATTGATGTTAAGATTGACAGAAGTGAGGTTGTGTGGGTGTCCCCTCCCCCTTCACCTCTTGTCATTCTTTTTCTTTGTCTGTTGCTTTTACTGGGTCTAAATCTTTCTTGAATTTCTTGATGTGCTACTGGAGCTGTTGATTCCAATGTTAGAATGAAGATTTCGTTTGTATGTCATGTAAAATAACACATGCATCCATGACCTGCTTGGATTCCAGCTGGAGATATTTGTAGAACAGTACTGCATATACTTATCGTTTCCTATCATGAACCTGTTTAACTGGTCGGTCCTACAGAAATATAGACTTCTCAGTTTGGATGCAAGTTCAATATACTGTGTTTTTCAGCAACGATAGCAATCATCAAGATTACTCCTGAATTTTAATTTCATCTCCAGTATGTGTAGTTCCCTCCAGTTAGGTTGTCTGCAAATCTGGAGAGTATGTTCTCTGTTCTTCAAGTCATCCAAGGGAATAAAGAATGATACTGGACCCAAAAAGACCCCCACGTGCTTTTTAAGATCATCTCTGCTCTACCTGTAAGCACATGGCCTGGTTAGCTGTTCCTTTGAATTTCTGTTTAGTACATTTCTGTTGTTAAATGTACTTTATTTCCTTTTTGCTGTATAACAAGCTAAGATCCCACGGAGATCTTTAAGGAAAAAATACCTCTGAAGTAATTTTAGTGTATCAATAATGTGGTTATATGTTTTCAGAGTTACTATTATGAAAGACAAAGACACCAGGAAGAGCAAAGGAGTTGCCTTTATTTTGTTTTTGGATAAAGAATCTGCACAAAACTGTTCTCGGGCACTTAATAACAAACAGGTAAATTGTGGAAAGTTGTTTTGGTAGGAGGGTTGGGTTTACAGCCCCAAAATATTTACCTTTTTTTCCAATTTGTTGTAGTTGTTTGGAAGAGTAATAAAAGCAAGTATTGCCATTGATAATGGAAGAGCAGCAGAATTCATTCGCAGGCGTAACTACTTTGATAAGTCTAAGTGTTACGAATGCGGGGTGAGTAAAACCAAAAATTAACTACTATATTCCAGCTTTTTTCTTCAGTTTGGCCATTGCTAGTCCTGCCCGTGGTGTTAAAATAAATTTTTCTGTTGATACTATCAACTTGTATAGCAGTTGTAGCATTTTCAAGAATGATAGTACACCTTTTGTCTTTTATTTGAGATTTTGGGGGTGGGAGAAAATATGTGCTTATAATTGCTGCTTAACATGCTGATGAGCAGACAGAGACGAGTATCAGCTTAAAGCTGTATGAGAAGGAAAACCGCCTAATCTTTGCTTCAAAATACCTGCTTTTGCTGTATCTGTGGAAGTTCATGATATAGTTGGCGGTTAAATAAATATTGGAAACAACTGTTCTTACACAGAATAAGTGTGTTTTAAATTTCAGGCAATTCCTCAGTTTTCCTTAATATAATAACATAGGAGATTGAAATTTGGGTAGTATTTAACATCAAATACAAACTTGATTTATATTCATAACACTTTTGAGAGCAAAAGTGCTGACTTACTCCTATTTCTTAAACTGTTAATGCTGAGGTTTATATCTTGTCTTGAACATAAACTGTGCTGTAGTGTATTCAGCTATTGCAGCAGCCAAAGAAAATCTACTTTGCTCATAGCTTGTTCTCAATTTGCAGTTAAACATGCGTATCGCCACTGATCTCTTCGTTTCCATGGCAAGCTTATAGAGAAGAGTTTGTCTTCCGTGTGCTAATTCAGCGTTCCATTTGTCTTACTAATTGCTTCCATTTTTTCCCCCGTGAACTGTCTTATATTAACTTTCCTCATGATATGTTTCAACATATAGTTGTTTGTAAGGGTTTCTGTTAAGCAATATTTCTTTTTCTCCAAGGAAGCAGGACACTTAAGTTATGCTTGTCCTAAAAATATGCTGGGAGAGCGGGAGCCACCAAAAAAAAAAGAAAAGAAGAAGAGAAAGAAAATAGTTGAGCCAGAAGAAGTGTATGTATATTTATTTACATGTTAATACTTCTTTTAGGCAGCTTTTTTATACTGAACACTTAAAATAAAGATCTATGTATTTTTCTCTCTCTGCACAATGAAGTGAGGAGGAAGAAGAAAGCGAAGAGGAAGGAGAAGACCCTGCTCTAGATAGCCTCAGCCAAGCCATAGCTTTTCAGGTACAAAATTGAAGCATTGCGTATTTACTATTATTTAAATGCAACTCTACTTCCGTTTTTTAGCTGCTTTTCAAAAGCTCTGAGATACATCTGTAAGTCTGTCCGCTCTGTAGCACTCGGAAGGGGAACTACCCTTCCCTGACAGTAGTTGGTGACTATAGTTGGTTTCTTCATATTGCAGGCATGTTCAGTCATCTCTCTCTCTTTTTTTTTTTTAACTGTTTCACTATTGGCTGTGTTTGTGCATTGCGATTCTTTCTTTCCTTCAAGCTCCTTTGCTGCTTAGTTTCCTGTCATCTCTGCTGTGATGCTATGTTAGGTTTCTGGTCCACAAATCCCTCTTTACTCTGTTAACTGAGCAACCAGAAAAACAGTGATGTATAAATGACCAGGTACATCCTCTGCCCTCACTCATTAGAATGTCTTTGAACAACGTCTATTTCTGGAGCACTTCCTTTGCCTAATACAGTCCATTGCGGTCTCTAATAGACCTCTTCTCTGAAAACATATTTAATGCATTTTTTGTTATGTAGATAGATAGTCTGACAGCGGTATTACTATCTTCTTTAATACTTCTTCACAGGCTTTTGCTTCACTACACAGAGCAAGCCTGACCTGAAGTTCAAATTTCATGGCTCCCTAGTCCTCAGCTGTCCCCTGTGTGCCCCTGTTCCCCAAAAAAAAACCTCAGTTTCCAAGATAACTTTGTCCTGAATATGACTGTAATGAGTACAAAACTTTTACATGATGTAGTCCAAAAAAATGATGCAAATATGCATATTATCCCCCTACACACCCCCAGAGAACTCCACAATTGGAAGTAAAACCTATAAATGTAAACAAGCCAGGAAACATTCCCATTTCTCTCACCATTCAAAGACTTTAACTGAGATAGCATGTTTCCCAGTAAAAATAGGAAGCATCTATTTAAACCTTTAGTTGAATAACCTTTACGTTCCTGAAGACATTAATTTCCTGAATGAATCACTGCAAAAGACAACAGATAGAAGACTTGTTAGTGGAACAAAGCTGATTCAGTAATGTCAATTTAAAATGCGATGCATTCTTTGCTTCAGATCTAAGCTGCTCTATAGTTCTGCAAGTTTGCCAGGTGCAAAGTTCCTCTCTTTGAAAATAGAGCATGCTCCGTGTGGCCTGCGTTGGTGCAGAAGACTTACTGTTTGCGTGTGAGAACTACTTTCAGAAATGTTTTCTAATGCATTCATCGCACAGTTTATCTGGAAATTGAGATAAACCCTTTAAATTCTTTAACTTATTAAATAATTCAATGCGTTTTAATAATTAGTATTATTATTTGTAATGCATCTTAATTTTTCTTAATCCTAGCTAATACTTTTCATTTCCATTGTAGCAAGCCAAAATTGAGGAAGAGCAACAAAGATGGACGCAGACTGCTGGGGAATCTTCAATTTCAGATGATTCAAAACGTCCACGGATTAAGAAAAGTGCTTATTTCAGTGATGAGGAAGAACTTAGTGATTGAAATAATACTGTTTTATATGCATATATAATATATATAGTGTACATTTTGTAAAGTGCTACAAAGTTATCAGTAATACAGGTTTGTCTTGGTGTTGAAGACACTTAATGAAAATCATGTTGTAGTTCTACCCTGCCCCTCAAACCTCCCATTTTTTTGATATCTCTCTCTCTCTCAAAACTTCACCCTTCAAGGCAGCTTCTTAAGAAAACGATGTGTTTCTACACTTAAATCCAGAAAAATATCAGGGAAAATGCTTCTTGCAGTCAGTGTCTAGACCCAAACCCTGGCAATGAAATCTTTCATAAGATAATTTCCTTAAGGTTTTTTTCCTAAGAGGAGTTCCTCTTAGCACCACTGACGCTTTATGTATTGGTCTGTTTCTTGCCTGTTTGGAAGCAGTGCTTTAGTAGTACTTTAGTAGTATATGAATCTCTCACTAGTTCCTCTGCATAGGGTTGAATTTCAGCCTTAAGCATTATACTAGTCTTTTTAACTCTTCATGCAGTAATATAATAAATTTATAAGTCACATAAGCTTGGTCTGTGAAATCATTTTAGACTAAACAATACATCTGTCTGTTTTCCAAAAGGATATATTAAGATGTTGATCTTCTGTCTCATGCACAGTTTTAGTAACTTGCTGTACATTTTATAGTACTATATAGCCTATATAAAATATAGGCTTCATAGAGGAGATGCAAGTTAAAAGTTATGTGATGATTAGTTCAGTCTTGAAATCTTCATACTTAATATTTTTTTAAGAGTGATAGTTCTGTTGCTCTTGAATTAAAATTGAGAATGGCCGTATGTTTTAAAAATGGGAATTTGCATATGTTTTAATATGCTCTAATCTGATACTGAAAGTCTCTTGCTGTGATAAGGGCTTATACCACGCTGTTTCTTCTAACTGCAGTTTGGGTGCCTAGCATGGTAATTATGGTTATGCACAGGTTTTAAATATACTTGTATCTAACATGGATCACAGTCCTATCTTCTCAGACATCTGAACCTGCTGTTAAAATCTGGAGAGCACAGAGTTTCCTACTTGCTTAAAAATCAGCTTGTATGTGTACTTGGAGTTGTCATGGTCTCCAAGCAAAGTGTGCTGGTGTCTATTTTGCACCTAAAGCTGTTCAGATCTTTTGAATAGAGTCTCCACCCTTAAATCCCTGTAGGGTTCTAGTCGGGTTTTCCTAAAAAGCCTCTTAGATGCATTAGAACAGTACAAAGCCCTGCAGCAGTGATCACTCCCAAAACCACAGACACATGGTGGTGGTGGTAACCCTTTTATATTGGCCGCTTTGTATAGTCAAACTTTGCATTTTTAAGAGGCACAATATAAAACACTTTCACACTTGGCCTCTGTTTCTGTTTTCAGCTCTTCCTGTTGCTATCAGGACTTGGTTTTCTTCCAAATATAGAAAATGTAAATCCAAATATACCATTACATATTCTTAACTAATACCAATATACTTTCAAATATATAACTGGGTGCAAAGAAAAGACACCCACACCCCTCTAAGCAGTCACATTCAGAAGGTCATTCTGGGGTCTTCTGTGGCTACTTTCACAAGAACTCGGAAACAAGAATAAGGTAATAGAGTGAAAAATTTTTCTGTACAAACTACTCAAGCCACAGACTGGGAAGAAATATTGGGCTTTAGGCATAGGAAGGTCTTGGACTCAGTAATCCAAAGGATGTTTTTAAGACTTACTTTGTGACTTTCTGCTGAAAGCACTATATATGCAGGCTGGTTAAATCTGAAGCTTCTTTGCTGAATTTTGGAAAGGTCTCTTGCTACTGAGTAGCCAAGTGCTAAAGTGCTAGGTGTAACTTAGTGTTAATAAATGCAGATCACTGTACATCATGTGTGTAGTAATAATGATTGAGGAGTTCTAAACTTCTAAGGAAGAAAATCTTGCTGCCAACCATGCTTCTCTGCAAATGCTAGGTTAGGGCTCAGTAGCAGTTAAAAAAAAAAAAAGAGCAAAAGGAACACGAAAATATTATGCCACTACTTAAAATCAGCGTTTGTCATCTTCTCCAGTACCATGTTCAATGCTGTTTTTTAAAAAAGATGGAAAACTAAAATGCAACAGAGGACCAGTTTGACATCGTCCATGACTTTGATTTGGGAATGTTTGATAGCTTGTAAGAATTAAGATTTTAATGAAGTGGTTGGGCAGCAAGTTTCAAGCTTTCATTTCATTACACTGTGTAACGTAGTAGTGGAACTCACTGCTATAAGACTTTTTTCAGGGTCATAGGGTCAAAAGGATTAGACTTGTATGTGAAACGTGATAGTTATTTAAAAACGTTAGCTTAAATACAGTCTCCGCTTAGAAATATCCTAAATTACTGCCTACCTTTAGCTGTAAAACATACAGAGATATTAACAGTCTAGGAATGTTTTATTCTTATACACTTTACTGTTTCATATTTGCTACTGGTGTTTTGTCAGAAAGAATAAAAACAAAACTGACCTTTGTTCTGACCTAATATAGTACTTTTTCAAGAGTTCCAGTAGCTGAAGCGTGTTGATATCTTTCTACTCTGCTGCGTCTGCCTCACTGCTTTCCCTGTTGGATTTGCTTTTGTCAGCATGAAGCAGTAGCTCAGTCCAGACTATTACAACTGACCCAGTGGTGTTCCTCCATGCTCTTTTCTTCCAAGCATAAAGTCACTTGAGGCAGGTGACATTGGAAAACAGACAGATAAAAATGAGCCTGCTTCCGTGCAGATTTGGCATCTAGAATTCCTTACCTTAAATCATCTTCCTTTAACAGTTTTCTTAACTGTTTGAACTTCTGTTGATTATCTTTGAATGCCAAGGGATTTGCTCCTGTTCGTGCCCAACCTCACCTACTCCAAGCAGCATGGCTTCAGGTTTCCATCTGAGTCCAATCAGTGCTGAGAAGCTAGGCGGAGTGTTAACTAGGCTGCTAATTTAGATCAGGCCAATAGAGTGCAATTAGTTTTCAAAACTTGAGCAACAGAGTGGTGCTTTTGTCAGAGGTTAGTATCTTAAAGCACCAGCTCAGGAAGCAGAAAACAGCTTTGGTGGCTGCACGGCTCTGGGCCAGACAGATGAGGCTATGTAGCCACGTTATCAAAAGAGAGAAGAATAAAAACCGCCTTGTAGAACACCTTCCTGTTATTGTTAGAAAAACCACAGGAGTTTGTGGGTGGGGTTTTTTGTGTTGGTTTGGGGTTTTTTTTTTTTTAGTACTTTGAGGACCTAGCTTAGGCTAGCAAGCCGAATGCTAGTTTTAAAGTATATATAATGTGGCTCTGATTATAGAGAAAATGACATTAAGTGGCAGACAGATTTTTATTTTTTTAAAATAATGTCAAAAACTTGGATCTTTCTGCAAACATCCACTTACTAGATTTTTGTCTTTCGTATTTTCAAAACAGCTTGAAAATTGTCAACATAATGCTTTCTGGGTCATGGGACCTCTTGTCTATTGAAATGGCTAACCGAGTAGTGTCTCAAAAGTCACTAGAAGATGACTTTTATCTGTCCTTGGGGAAGGAGGGGCTATGGAAGGGGGATAAGGATGATTAGCTTAACTGATTATAAACGGTGTTACTCATACTGTGCCTGTGCAGCACTTGTTAAACCATTGCAGCTATGAGACACTGGAGTAATTTTAGTCCGTGTTTAGCAGGCTCCCACTATGTTCTTGGCATATTCAGGTTACTACTCTCAGCAGAGCAGTAGAAGGGGCTGTAAATATAAAGAACTATGTGTAGCTAAATAGGTGATGTCTGGAACAAATTGTACACACTCTATCTTTGGCTTCTGGGTCACCGTGTTCTTTGGGATAGCCCTTTTTTTAATCTGCAGAGGTGACTTACTGTAGCACGGGAAGGTGAGCTGCGCATGCTGCTTTGGCTGGAGTCTTCTAAGGCACAAAATACCGAAGTGCTTAGAAAAGCTAGATGTAAAATGTGATATTTAAAAATGGGATTTATTAAGTGCTACTGTGAATGTTTAGAGGTAACTAGTACAGAGACCTCTTCGTTTCCACTTTCTTTTCTATTTGGCATCCGCAGTATCAGTATAATATATACAATCACAATTGCACCATTGCTCTTCTATAGAAGTATTTCAAATAACACTGTTCTAGGTGTGCTATCTTAAAATAACTGGTATTGGATAGCTGGTTGCTTCTTTTTAGTGTAGATTAGAAAACTGTTTTTAGGTGTCCTTAAAATGTTCATACTAAACAGCTTTGTTTATCTTACGGATCTTAGCAGGGTGAGTTTTTTCTGTAGCTGTTGATGGCAATATTAAAAATTACTATACTGTTCCTTCTTTAGAGAAAAAGGCATAAAGTGAAGGGTTTAGTCACTCTCAACGTAGATGACCTTGTTTCTTGTATCTATCCTGGTGTCTGTAAAAAGTATCTTAGAAGGGATAAGCTGAGGAGATTCTGTATGTAAAAGAAAGCAATATTTTTTTACTTGAAGAATTGCACAGGTTTGTGAAATAACGTTTCATCAGTGCGAGGCTAACCCTGACCCTGCTGTGCATTCAAACAGATGGGATGTGTGCTTATACAAGTATTCAGTGGGTGTGGTAGGTAACGCAGCAAGTAGACAGTTAGGGAAATTGTGGCAGTAAAATGTGATAAAAGTGTGTGTGAAAAATCTAACCAACCCGGTGAGGCAATGTAGGTCACAGTGGCTTGCAGAAATACCGCAGTTACCAATGTGAGAACTTTCCTGTCTGATTAATAGGATGCTCCGGAGAATCAAATGCAACTCCGAGATTATGAGTCCATCAAAGGCAACAGCCAGAAGCCTGCGATACGATGAGCTGATCCATGAAAATTCAGTTTTATCAATATGCAGTTAAAGAAAATTAGAAGGCATGCAAATTTAGATACGGCATCAAGCTTGATGCAGTACAGCAAAAACTGTCACTTGGTTGCGGGAGTAAAGATGCATTATTGTAACTGCGTATGTGGTGGCAGAGGACGTGGACACGTTCTGCCCAAGGAACAGATGTAGCTATGGAAGAAGGAGAGACCCAAAATAGAACCAAAAGGCATATTAAGGACTGTGTGGGTATGCTGTGAAGTTCCAAGGCACCGAATTGTATTTTTAGAGTGAATGGGATAGAACTGCTTGTACTATGTTGTGCTTAATTGAAGAATGAGTGTCTTATATCTGAAAATTATGAACCTTTTGGTAGTATAAGTTTGTACTGATGTGCGAATGTTCAAGGAAGGGAGAAGAACTAAAGGAGGATGCAGTTCTACAAAGGACCTCACTTGGGATGCCCTTGATGTGTGAATTTGATTAGATGGCGAAGAGCCATCTGCCCATGAAGCCTGGAGCCATGAGGGTGCATATAAAATGAAATGACTTAGTAGCATATGGCAGTTAGGAAAGATGAGAACATGCAGTAATTGGACGTGATGGTTTTGAGTTCATGAACCATGTATCTGGAATGAGTGATTGTAGTCCTTGAAATTATGTTTTTTCAAAGAAAGTTTTTGAAAATTCAACAGCTAGGTTTATTTTCACCTGC